TCTTTGATCCCAGAAGTCTGGAACACAGAGAGAGATACCCTGATAAAGATATCAAAAGCTATCCTGCTATGCATGATGTACCAGTCATCTTGATCATCTTACTGTTAAAATGCTATGTTTAAGAAAATTATAGCTTATTATTTTTTATTTTCCTAAATGTATTTTAGTCACTAAGAGCTTTTCACAAACTTATGCATGTAAGTAACTCAGTCACACTGATCTTATATTAGTACCTTATTATGTTTTATCAGCACTCTGTCCCAGTACAATGTAGGATGTCCACATTATATGGTTTGGTGTAGGTCGGTATGCTCTTAAATTCTTTTTTCATGTATTTATTTTCTTCAAAGCTTTCAAAGTAGCTCATTTAGTAATGAGTACTTTAAAACTCCAATGTTTTAGTTAATCTACTTAGTATATTCATACTATGAAAAGAAGCCAATATACATTTTAGTTATTAGTTGAATCATAATAACAAAGGATTTCTATTGTTTTTGTGGAAGTCACATGATGGGAAATGTGGGTATGAGGTGGTCTTCGAGTGATAAAAACTGTCCCTAAAATCCATAGAGATTATTTGATGTGGACTTTCCGGGCATCAGAATTCACTGGCCCTGGTACAGAATGAGTTCATTCAGTCAAGGCATTTGCATTTGGGTTTTGAGAGCCAACTTTATCCCAGTGTGGGAATAGTAGGTCTTGGAATAATAGGTCATGCTCATTTACATTTTCTTACTTTAACAAATATACTTTTACTTATTTCAGCTTTTATTTGAATGTATGTCAAAAGAAAAATAATCATTTGTGTTGTGGAAAATACAGTTGAATTGAACCTGATGATCTCTAAAGATTCATTCAGCTGCTGATTTTTTTATTTTAAAGTATAACTGTCAGGGTCCAATTAGGAAAACAAAAAACAATGTGTCTACAATATAGGGAATTTAATTTGGAAAATTAGTTTCATAGGTGAAAGAAAAAGCATCTGACTATCAGAGGTCAAAATGTGGTAACCCAGCACCTGAGAGTCAATCAAGGTACAGGACGGTAACCTAGAGAACAGCAACACCGGAAAACCGCTACTACCTTAGGCTCAAAGATTATTAAAAAAAGGGGAGAGCCCACTGTCCAAAGTCATCCAAAGTAAGCTGGTGACTTGAAAAGCTGCACAGAGGCAGCCACAATCAAGAGGAGACACAAGAGCAGAGCCTGTTGGAGAAACCACCCATGACAAAGAGGGAAAGGGCTAACCTAGTTTCTTTCCCTCTACCCCATAAAATACCATCAGTGCTTCCCCTTGGCTGACCTGAGCCCAAGGTAACATAATACAAAAGCCCTGCTATGATACCAAACAGAAAATAGAAGAGACTCTGAGAAGCCAGGACTGGCTCAGAAATAAAATACTTTTTTTGAGAGATAAAGACAAAAATTACAAAGTCTCTGAAGCATAAAATGAAAAACACAGATGTCATTGTCATCGTTATTATGTTATTCGTGAGCCAAATATTGTTGACTTGTTTACCTCATTTCCCTATCCAGTCTGTGCCAGGTTGTGTTGGTCACAGATGTCTTTATTTCCAATCTTTCAATCATGGTTAATGCTTTGAAATTTCAGGGAAGACTTATGTTGATCAAACGCTGACTCATTTAGTTATTTCTGGAAATGAGAAACCCAATGATCTCTTTTTTGGTGATTCAATTATATAAAAATAAATAATTTCTCTTCCAAAAAGATCAAGTTATATCTTACAGGATTTGCAAAGAGGCATTTTTTAGTTCTCACATTATCTCTTTCTCTGAATTTGGACTATGCTATGCTTTAAAATAATGTATCCACATTTCTATATATTAAACAATAATTTGTCACTAGTTTATTGTATCTACCAATATTTCTACTCTTTCTATTCTTCTTTCTTGATGCTTCAAAATTTTCCATGATTTTCATTTTGTTTCTGTAAGAACTTCTTTTAGCCTTTTATAAAGGCTAGAAGATCTGCTAGTGAAACATTCTTTTATTAGTTTTCCATCTTCTGATAATGTCATTATTTTCCATTTATTTCTAAAGGTATCAAATTAGCAGTTGACAGTTCTTTCAGAACTTTAGAGATGCTATGGCACACCTTTATGGCCTCCTTGGTTTCAGATGAGAAGTCTGCTATTTGAATAGCTATCCCTCTATAGGTAATTTTTCCCTGTCTTCTTTCAAGGTTATTCCATAGTCCTTTGTTTTCAGAAGTTTGATTATGATGTGTCTTGGTATGGATTTCTATGAGTTTATACGTTGGAGTTTGCTCAGTTTATTGAATATGTTGGCTTAATGCCTTTCAACAAACTTGGGAAGTTTTATTTGTTATTCCTTTGGATATGCTCAGCTCCACTTTCTCCTCTCCTTCTGAAATTCTGATGATACTAATGACGGATCTTTTGTTACTGTCCACAGGTCCCGGAGGCCCTGTGCTTTGCTTTTGTTTTTAGTCTATTTTCTCTAATTTGTTCAGGTTGGGTAAATTATATTAATCTTTCCTCAAGTTTACATATTCTATCTCCTATTATCTTTAATACTGCCAGGTGCCTTGTTGTGACAGGATATCATTGCTGTTATCTGGTGCCCCACCCTAGTTAGGTAATGTCTCCAAATGAAGTCCCATTGTGGAATGAGGACTCTTTCCCTGGCCTATTAGGGTCAGCATGGCATTTGGATCACTGATTCTCCTTGTTAGCTTTGTAGAATAACCTTGTATTTTTGAGTCTTGGCAAGGAATAAGCTTACCTTATCCACCTTTGGTTGCTTGATCAGGAGGTGGAAAGTATGGGGCTTGGGTTGTCGTCTTCTGTTGGATAGGGTTTTATAAGAGTTGTGCTTCTACATCATTCCCCCAGTCCTGGACTCCCTACCCTTTTCCTTCCTCTTACTAACCCTACTTATCCTTGGTTTTCTCTTAAGTCATTTAAGGGGTTGACAGTTGTACTGAGAGGAAACAAGCAAGCAGAAAAAATTCTACACCATCTTATTTCACCTGAAATTACTTTGTCTCTAATTAAAACCAGTAGCTCCCAACTCTAAGCAATTTAGCTCTCATGCTCAGTTGCCAATATCTGCAGACATTCCTAATTGTCACAACTTAGGGTAGTACTACCGGTGTCAAGTGAATAGAGGCTGAAAGTGCTGCTAAGCATTGTACAGTGCACAGAAGAGTCTCAAACAAGAAAAAATTACCCAGTCCAAATGTCAATAGTGCCGAAGCTGAGATAATTTAAACATTCTCCTGAGGAATAAAAAAAAATTTGGCTATTTTTCAAATCTGTTGCAGGGTTAGACATTGACATCATTTTTTTCCCTTCCTCATCATAACCACTAGTTTTGATGAAGAACTCTAGCTTTCTAATATGCAAAAAGCCTTTCTAAATATATGCCTGAGGACTTGTCATTTTTAATTTTTAAAAATGTCATTTGCTTTAATTTGATGCATTTATAAATCAAAAGGGTAGTTATTTTATCACATGGCCGTGATAATATCTACAGTACACTCAGTCAAGAAAATTTTTTAAAAGCTACTAACATTTGCTCCTCCCATTACATTTCACACAATTATATGCACAAAGTGGTTTGGGGCTTTGGGCTTCATTACCATATCTTTTATTTTGCTTGCTAAATATAATTTGGCATACACTTTAACATTTATTATTCTAGTATCATTTGATGTTCTAATTTACTCTCTGTGCCAGCATCTACTTTACCACTAATTTTTTTAAGAGTTGAGTAAAGATCCTGGAAACCTTGCTTTTTTAAACACTACTACAGATTTGGGAACTCCTAGAATCAAAGAACAACTTAGTGTGGCAGCTCATTACTGAACTGTGAGCTCTGGATATATTGAGTTACTGCCAAGAAATATTTGTACTTTATAGTCATAGACTTTATTCTTCCACCAGTGAGAACTAAAGTGGACTACCTGAATGAGGCTTACACCTCTTGATGATCTTCCTTTGCACAGAGGAATCTTTGTCAATCTCACTATAGCTCTGCCCTTTAGGAGTGGTATGCTGGGGCCAATAAGCAGGCGGGTACTGCTTCTGGGTAAACAGCTCATCAAAAGTCTGAGAACAGAAGGTTTCAAATGTATCAAAGCAATCGGCACAGTTGTTCACTTGTTAATTAGGAACACAAAGGCACTTTCATCAAGCTGCCCAGACCAGGGGGCCATCTGCATGACAGCATTGCCTTTCTGATGATAGTGGAAATAGAGCTTAGCCAGAACTCTCCAGGGAAGGCTCACTGACCTTCCTGCTTTAAAATATATATAAAGCATATGGATGAAATAAAAAAATTGAATATAATCATAGAATAAGCCCCATTTTTAGTGTTTAGTCTTCTGAAGAATTTCCTAGGGACTTACGTCCTGTTTGTTAGTTTTGATAATTGCCTTCTTTTACTGCTACATATTTCAGTAGTAGTTGTAATTATTCCCAGTCTATGGGTGTCAAGGCATTTCTAATGCAACAATGCATAATCTATTATAATTGCCATTTAAGTCTTCTGTCTTGTCCATTGTATGTAAGCTCTGTGAAGGGAGGAACCATGTCTATCTTGTTTAATTTTATGTTCCTGCTACCTAGTAGACTTGTGGAAAATAATGAAATAAGGTGATGTTAGTAAAGTTTTCTTTTTTTCTTTCTTTGAAATATAATGTGTTTAGTTTGCTCTGAATTCATGTATCTACATTTTTCTTTGTAAATAAGCATGTTAGTATATCAAATTGTGTTATATAACAGTGTTTTTGCCCCACACCACTTTTATATCTGAATGAGGTATAATGAGGTATATCTGAAAGCTATTGAAATGTCTTCTCTATTGTACTGATATGAAATGTTTAATATCACTTATCTCTGTTTATTCTATCCTGTTTTTTAAATATCTAAATTGCCGTCATCATAAACATCAGATGTTTATGCCAGAAAGATGCTGTATGAAGCCACTGTGTGTTTACTTTCCTTGTTTACAGTTCAATCACTGGCAATGAATGGAATCCCATTCCTAGGACTCTCCTAGCTCACTTATACATTTTCAAGAGACAAACAGAACCAATGCACTTGGATCATCACCTATTTTTCAGGTAACCTTTCTGCTTTCTTGGTAGAAGTAGATGCATCTTCTCTGTGTCTCCACAGTTTTTAATATTTTAGTGATAGTCCTATGCATTTGTATGTCTATTTGTCCAAATATATTTAGCTGACCCTTCACCAGTGGGTTAGAACTGCATGGGGCCCACTTATTGATAGATTTTTTTTTCCCCACAATAGAGTTGGCAGACCATATGGAGTTCTGCATCTGTAAACCCAGGTCTTTGGTAGGCCAAGGACGGAGGATCCAGATCACTTGAGGCCAGAAGTTCTAGACCAGCTGGGCAACAACATAGTAAGACCAGTCTCTATAAAACACATTTAAAAATTCTTCTTGTAGAGATATTTCACTTCCTAGGTTAGGTAAATTGCTAGGTATTTTATTTTTTTGGAGCTATTGTAAAAGGAATTGGGTCCTTAATTTGATTTATAGCTTGGTTGTTATTGGTTTATAGCAGCGCTATTGATTTGTGTAGATTGACTTTGTAGCCTAAGGCTTTACTGAATTCGTTTATCAAATCTAGGAGTATTTTGGAGGGGTATTCAGGATTTTCTAGGTATAGGATTATATCATTGGCACACAGCGGTAGTCTGAATTTCTCTTTTCCAATTTGGATGCCCTTTATTTCTTTCTCTTGCCTGATTCATTTTGATAGTACTTCTAGTGATAGGTTGAATAGAAGTGGTGAAAGTGAACATCCTTGTCTTGTTTCAGTTCTCAGTGGGAATGTTTCCAGCATTTTCTCATTCAGCATGATGTCTGTATGGGTTCATCATATACTGCTTTTATTACTTTGAGGTATTTCCCATCTATGCTTAGTCTGTTGAGGGTTTTCATCATAAAGGATGCTGGATTTTATTGAACGTTTTTCCTACATCTATTGAGATCATCATATGGTTTGAAAAAAATCATAGCACAAACAAATGAAAACACAACTCATGTTCACGTATTGGAAAAATTAATATCATGAAAATGACCATACTACCCAAATCAATCTACAGATTCAATGCAATTCCCATCCAAATTCCAACATCATTTTTCACAGAATTAGAAAATACAATCCTAAAATTCATGTGAAACAAAAAATAACTGACATAGCCAAAGCAAGACTAGGCAAAAAGAACAAATCTGGAGGCATCATATTACCTGACTTCAAGCTATACTACAAGGCTACATAAATCAAAACAGCATGGTACTGGTACAAAAACAGACACATAGACCAATGGAACAGAATAGAGAGCCAATAAATAATTCACAAATACAACAAACCGATCCATGAGAAAACATACAAAACATAAGCTGGGGAAAGGGCACACCACTTTTTTTTTGGTGCTGAGAAAATTGGTAAGCCACATGAAGAAGAATAAAACTGGAATAAACCTTATACAAAAATCTCCTCAAGGTAGATCAAAGACTCAAATCAAAGATGTGAAACTTGAAAAATTCTGAAAGAAAACCCAAGAAATACTCATCTGGACATTGCCTAGGAAAAGTATTCATGACTAGGACCTCAAAATCAAATGAAACAAAAATAAATATAAATAAATGGGACCTAATTAAACTAGAAAGCTTCTGTACAGCAAAATAAATAATCAGCAGAGTCAGCAGCTCACACAGCAGAAGAAAATATTTGCAAATTATGCATTCAACAAAGGACATATATCCAGAATCTACAAGGAACCCAAATCAGTAAAAATAATAATAATCCCATCAAAATGTGGCAAATGACATGAATATACATTTTTCAAAGGAAGATACACAAATGACCAACAAACATGTGAAAAATAATATTCAATAATTAATCATCAAGGACATGCAAATTAAAACCACAGTGAGATACCTACCACCTTACCCCTGCAAGAATGGTCATTATTAAAAGGACAACAATATCAAAAAACAATAGATGTTGGCATGGATGTGGTGAAAAGGGAATACTTATACACTGCTGGTGGGAATGTCAATTTGTACAACCTGTATAGAAAAGAGTATGGAGATTTCCTAAAGCACTAAAAGTTGACCTACCATTCGATTCAGCAATCTCACTACTGACTATCTACCCAACGGAAAAGAAGTCATTATATCAAAGAGACACCTGTACACATATGTTTATAGCAGCACAATTTACAATTGCAAAGATATGGAACCAACTAAATGCTCATCAAACAATAAGTGGCTAAAGAAAATGTGATGTGTGTATGTATATATATATATGTGTGTGTGTGTATATATATATGTATACATATACACACATATATACACACACATACTATGGAATATAACTCAGCTATTATATATATACACATTACACATGTATACAGACACACACACACACACACATTATGGAATACTACTCAGCTATTAAAAAGACTGAAATAATGTGTTTTGTGGTAACTTGGATGAAACTGCAGGTCATTATTCTAAGTGAAGTTACTCAGGAATGGAAACAAATACTGTATGTTCTCATTTACGAGTTGGAACTAAGCCATGGGTAAGCAAAGGCATGCAGGATGATTTAATGGGCATTAAATCAGTTTAATTGGAAACTCAGAAGGGAGAGGGAGTGAGGAAGATAAGGGTTAAAAAACTACATATTTGTTACAGTGTACACTACTTGGGTGATAGGAACACTAATATCTCAGACTTTACCACTATGTAATTAATCCATGTAACCAAAAACCACTTGTACTCCAAAAACTATAGAAATAAATATAATATTAAGAAAAAAATTAAACATTGTCTAGACATCATGGTGTGTACCGTAGTCCTAGATACTTGGAAGGCTAAGGTGTGAGGATCATTTGAAACCAGGAGTTCCTGGCTGCAGTAAGCTATAATCACACTACTGCACTCCAGCCTGAGTGACAGAGAGGGATCCTATGTTTAAAAAATAATAATAATAAAGTAAATATAGTCTTTTCAGAATGTGACTTCATGGATAAGAAGGGCCATTTTTTTCTGTAAGTGGGTTCCACAGGAAAAACTGTAGAACTTGATTATGAGTGGATTTTTGTATCTGACGTGTGTGTGTGTGTGTGTGTGTGTGTGTGTGTGTGTGTGTGTGTGTGTGTCTTACCTGTCTGTTCCTGTAAAGAACAAAGCAGGTTTTCTAGAACTAAATAGCTAATTAAAATAAACTCTAACTCAATCTCTTCAGTCGTATCAGCTGTTATCTTTTGTCCTTTAGGAGTCATTTCTTCCTTTCTAAATCAGTTAGGCACATGGCTCATATCCTTCCTTGTCATCAGCTTTTTGACTAGACTGATAATAATTATGGGATCTAGAGATCTTATTCTGTTCTACATTAACAGTGCTTTATGAATACTAACTAAATACATAAATTAGTTAAATATATAGCTCTTTTCCCTCCCTCTTTTCCTCCCTCCCTCCCTCCCTC